TGTAAATGTCTATTTGCATCACGTTTATTACGGAAAACACATTATTTGATCAATTTACATTGTGCCCCTAAAGTTCTTTGTGCGCTCCTTACTTTTTCAACTTAGGAGCACATGTGCTCCTTGGGAAAAAAGTTAGCGTCAAGCCCTGCTTATGCTTGGGGAAGGCAGGAAGGATGGTTTTTGGCTATAACTCAAGAATTCCTACACGAACTACGACAACATTTTACACAAATGTCTGACAGGATGAAATAATGAAGTGGTGACATTTTGTATTCAGAAGGTCAAAGGTCAACTTCACTGTGACGTTATAATGTTCTACAAAAACACCTCTCCGGCCATTATCAAAAATCATATCTCAGGAACAGAAGGGGAGACATTTGGTCAGATACTGAATTGGTGACTCTAATCTTGAAACTGAGCTGATTGTATAGATCCTCTGTGTGTGAAGCATCTATGTTTTCACTGACATGGATGGAGAGGAACTTGATTCGTAGAGGCGTACAGCTGCAGGTGGTAGCTAGTTTTGCTTTTGCTGTCCAGACTTTGTAAGATCAATGTGTTTATGCCAAAAAACGGATTTGGTCTGGCAGTCTGAACAAGGCCTAAGCGTGACTCTGAGACCGAGTGGCTGTCTTGCACTTTCTCACCTCTCTCCTCGGCTCTTCATCAGCGTCCTCTGACCTTCACACCGATCGCACCGTTTGGTTTGGTGGTAACAGCTTGTGTTGGAGAAGCCACATAAATCACTTCGGAGCATGTTTTTTTCTCTCAGGCCCACAAATGAGTTTATGCTTCGCTGTCTGTCATACATTTTCATAATGATTCCTCGACGCATCTCTGGAATCACCACCGCAGTTTCGGGCCCTTGGGGAGGGGGAAACTCGCCATCTGTCGCCGTGTTTTCCTCTTCCTGCCTCTTCCTGCCTCTCCTTCCTGGTGGCTGAGCGGAGCCCCACCGAGGATTCCCCCGCTGTCAGTCTGACACTCAGTCACGGGGGCCATTAACCCGGGCCTCGACTTTACGTGAGCTGGTTGCCATGGCGACTCGGGTGGTCTCTGAGCGTGTGCACAGGTGTGTCGTAACAGATGGTGGAGAGGGCGGGGAGAGGAAACAGAGGTTTGTGCTGCCTGGTTGAGCTCTCCGCATGGATGTGTGTGTGTGTGTGTGTGTGTGTTTGTGTGAGCGCACATGTGCGTGTGTGTAAGTGAGTCGATGATCCCTCCCACCGCAGCCAGACATTTGGTTTTTTACCCCAAAACGAGCTTCATCAGCATCAACAGTGGTGATGAGCGAGAATACAAACAACACTTAAATGTTTCACAGCTGAGAGAACACAGATGCTCTCTGCGTAACTCCACCCGTTACCAACAATGTCTACATGGATGCAGCTGCGTCTCATTTGGATGTTTTTATTGATTATTGATATGAAATTAATATTGACTGCTGCATTTTATTAGTTATTTACTTCGTACATAGCTAACATAAGAGGAGATGTGTTTTTGTGAAAACTTCTTTTGCAGATTACCTTCTTAGGTTTATTGAGAGAATTACACTATTCAATTATTGATAAATACACACACTGTTTATAAATATTATATTATATTATATTCCTTAAAGGGACAGTTCACAATAAATAAAAAATACATATTCTTCCTCTTACCTGTAGTGCTGTTTATCAACCTAGATTGTTGGTACACCACGATTCAACTTTTTTTTTTCCCAACAAACACACGTGGTTGGGTTTAGGAAAAACTAACAGGGTTTGGCTTTAAAATCTTGTGGGACACAAACACCGCTCTCTCGAGTGAAAGTCAGTGTTTGTTGGACCTATCCACCCCCACTCTCACCTCCTCAGTTGGACTTTCCCCACCTTAACTTTCGTTCTTGTCCTGCTGCGTGTCCTCCTGACACTGTCCAGCGCCGTTACACCATAATGGCAACTGGCCGCATATCATGCCGACATTAAAGGATGCCTTTTTCGTTGGTTTCTGACGCAGCAAGTCACTGCTCAAGCGCTGGATTTTGACGACTTCGGAGTGAGACCGGGCTCACGGTGGATGTATCCAGACCTTTACTTAAGTAAAAGTAGTAATACCACAGTGTAGAAATACTCTGAGCTTTGGCTGTGGCTCAGAGGTAGAGCGGGTCGTCCACCAATCGAAAGATCAGCTGTTTGAAGAAGTAAAAATTACAATATTTACTTCCAACATGTGGAGAAGAAGTATGACGTAGTAGAAAATGAAGATAAACAAGGACAAGTACCTCAAAATTGAACTGAATATAATTTTTTAACCATTTTAAGAAGCTCAGATGTTGTGATGGTGTGTTCTGTGAGTTCATAGCGGTTCAGGTTCAGAGTACGACTGTGTATCAGGTCTCTAACTGCTTCTTTCTGCCTGTAACGACCCATCGTTACACTAAGAGCCCTTCACAGCACACTGCAGACAACAACACAGAGAATCAATAGTCTCGCACTGGCTCATAAACGCAGCACGGAGCCTAACGATGCGTTCAGGGTCATCTGTCACAGTGAGATGAGGAGAGAGAGTCCTGGTGTTTCTCTGCTCTGTTGTTGATCCCCAGTTAAAAGACAGAGATTCTGAGGAGTTAATGGTGGTCTAGCTGCTCACATGATGGAGCTCCAACAGTTTAACAGTCCACCACAGCTCACAGTTAACAGGGCGAGAGGAGCGGGATGGCGTGAGCCCTCTTTATTCAGTGTCACTGTTGGAATGGTTCAAAAGCTTATAATGCAGGAGAATTTATTTTCCAGTGTTTTGGGTTCTGCTTTGTGTGGATTGTTTTATTCATCTCAGCTGCAGATCTGTGAAGCTATGGAGGCCGATTAGTGCCAGTGTGCTGAGAAAACATTCTGTAAGTTTTTATAATTAGACTTGCACCGATAAATCGTCAGTGCTAAGAATCGGGCAGGTTTTCGTGTGATCGGCTGTGACATGCGACCGGCCGGTCAGTCTAAAATATGCCGATTTAAAACGCCGGTCAAATTCCCGCCACGCTGCATGATTGACATCTTGTAACACCAGCAGTGCACACACATGCACATGTGCAACTCACAGCGTGGGTGATGTGAGGAAGGGGACCTCAGGGACACACTGGTTTGGGTAGGACAACTATGGAGTAAATGATTCCGGCCAGAGAATCTGGTTCGAGAGGATACTTTCATTTTCAATGCAGGAGGTTCACAACAAGTGTGTGTGTGTGTGTGTGTGTGTGTGTGGTTCTGAAATAAACAAAAGGAAAAATAGCTTTACACTCAATTCTTACAAGTATGGCTTTTCACCTTAATCATTCACGCACACACATCAAACAAAAGAAGGAGAAAGTTGTTAATTGTCCGTGAACTGAACTGCAGAGCTCTCACTGCTGCACTGTGCCACTTGAAACTGATGAGGCGTGTGTCCGTGTGCTGAAGATTCATGTGTCTGCGTGCTTACTGGCAGGCTCGTCCTCAGCGCTAAGGGCTTTCGTACAGGCGACCAACACTATGTCAGCCATATGGAATTTTTGTCTATTCAAGAAATTACCCACAAATGGTATACACCAAGAATTATTATTTTATTTATCTATGTTTTTATTTATGTATGCTTTTTTTACTTATTTGAGATGATTATTGAAAAGCTGTTTGTGTCTTGTTCTAATAAAGGAAAGAAAGAAAATATTGCAAAATCTAGTGTGCTGTAAAGTAGTTTAAAAAAAATGAAATCGGAATCGGCCAAAATCGGAATCGGCCGTCGAAACACTGCGAATCGGAAATCGGTATCGGCCCAAAAAATTGTAAATGGTGCAAGTCTAATGAGAGTCTTTATCAAAATAATGAAAAGCTTTCTCAAAATTGTGACTTGGTATCACAAAATAATGAGGTCATATTTCTAAAAAATTGACCTAGTGTTTCAAAATAATGAGTGCGTATCTAAAAATAATGAGTTAATGTCTCAAAATTTTGACTAAGTATTTCAAAATAATGAAGCTTTCTCAAAATAATGACTTCATAACGTAGTAATAATTTGTGTTATTTTGAGATATTAAGCGATTTCCTAAATAAAGTTTCATTATTTGAATTAGTTTTTCATCATTATGATTTACAGGGATTTTTTTTACACTAGCAGAAATGGGCTTCCATACAGACCTTTATTTGAACAGAGGCTTATTTATGGGAGACTGGCTTTTTATTTCTAATGTTCACTGTGAGGAGTCTGCACTTCCTTCATGTTTACCTCTTATAATTACCAGATATATTTTGTACAATGTAATTTCATTTTTCTACAGTCATGTCATATTCACCACTCCTTCTGTCACTAGAGCAGTTTATAATCAGTCATTATTTCTACTGACTTCTACTTTGTTATTTTTGTGATCACTGTTCAGCTACTTTCAAATAAACTAAGAACTTCCTGCAGATGTTTCACTGTTAATGTCTCGGAGTGGCTCAAAAGACATAATCTTCCCTCTTTCTGATTGTTTTTTTTTTTTTTGTGTATAAAATCTGCAGGAAATGTTAAGTTTTGTTTGCAGCAGATCTAGAAAACCAGCAAAATGACAACTGCAGCTCAGCATCCACCACTTTGACTTTCCCACCAGTCATCTGGAGAGACAAAGCTCTAAGTGATGGCTGGTTTTGTGCCAAACTTTCTGCCCGAGGAGATGAAATTATCAGCCGCAAACACGAGTCACTAGATTGATTCCAGTAAATGAACCGAACAGAGTCGACCATCTGTTGGTTTAATGAAAACTTATGGAATAATTCCTGCTGAGTTCAGACCATCATTTAGACAATATTATGTTCAGATCATCGGGTTTATCTGCATGTGGTGAAGTGAAAAGTTGATCAACACTGTCAGCTGAAATCCTTTTTTTCACATCACAGTAAACAGGAAGTAAACAGTAAGTTCCTCAGGTTTATGGTCATGACTGTTAAACTGCTGTCTTTCTGAATCACACCTCCCTGTCAGTAACGTTCCCCGCTCTGTTTCCTCCTCAGATGTACATCCAGACGGCCACGCTGACCGTTTCCCTCAGCCTCAGCGCCTCTGTCTCTCTGGGCATGCTCTACATGCCAAAGGTCTACATCATCATCTTCCACCCCGAGCAGAATGTCCCCAAACGCAAGCGCAGCTTCAAGGCCATCGTCACTGCTGCCACAATGACCAGCAAGCTGTCCCAGCTGGCGGCCGAGCGGCCCAACGGCGAGGTGAAGACGGAGCTATGCGAGGGCGTGGAGGCCAGTGGTGAGTGGGCACAGAGGCTTGTTTATATGGTCCAACCCTTTTTGCATTGAAACCTGGCATGATGGTTTAATGCTTTTGCATTGGTGCCGATTTGAACAATAAACTGATCAATATAGGATTAAACATAACAATGTTATTATAATAAATATTAGTATACAAGTTTTCTCAACATAAGCCACCATTCAAAAGTTTCAAATCAGCTCTTATGTTGACATTTTTCTTCTTTCCTTCAATAGTGTTTTTTTTCACAGAGACAAAAACAGCACAATTCAGGCACTAAATGTATTATATTTACATCTGAAATAGTTCTTGCTCAAAAAGAAAAATTAGAGCGATACTTTACCTATTTTCAACCAGCTCTGTGTCACCATAAGTGTGGGCAGTGTGTGCAGATGAACAGTCTTAAGGTGCCCCTCGTACTACCAGCTTCTGGAACTCCCTGCGTGTCCACCAGTCAAAACTGTTTTCCATCTGCACACCCTGCCCATACTGCAGTGACATGGAGCTGGTTGAAAATAGGCAAAATATCCCTCTAAATGGTTCAAACTCACATTTGGTCAGTGTCCCCACAGTGTTGCCTGACAGAGGAGAATACTGTGTGAACTTTGAATTTGTATTCCAGTCCAGAAAAGCATCAGTGACTCTCAATCCTTAGAGAAATAGAAAAATGACGAGTTCCTCTGAGTAATCAAACATAAAACCTTGTGTTAGGTGTTCGTGGAGAACAGGAAGCAACAGGATACACAGGAAGCCAATCCAGGCACTCGAAAATATAGAAACGAGGACGTAAGTATTAAAAAGCGTTTATTGTAGTGGCTAAATCATTAACAGAGCCAACATGTTCCGACCACTGCAGGCCTTCAACAGGGCTTTAAAAACGATCCTCAATTTCTGTATTTTTGGAGCACCTGACTTGCATTCCTGTGGGCGTGCATTATTCTTTGGGCCCTCAGCAGCACTCAGTTTTTACATCAAAGAGGTTTAAACTGTGATGTGTCAGTCTATAGCATATTCAACTGACACTTCAATAGTGCCAACCCTAGACTAAAGCCCGGGCCACAGTGCCCATGTAAGCAGCGCGTGTGTGATGCAGAACCTTTTGTATTTTTTAATTTTTGTTATTGTGTTTTGTCATGTTAACAGGTTAGAGCAGCCTCACTGCTTATGTGAGCAGTGCTGCTCAGCAACTGCTTAGCTGTGTTACACCTAAAGTTCGGAGTCTTGCCCATTTTTACCATGTGACGCACACAGTTTGCAGCAGAAATACACCATGAAAATTATATTTTGCTAATCATTTTGACATCAAACCACCTTTTATTACAGTTACAATGTCTATATCTGTCATGGACATGAAAAAATTGTATATATTTATTTTTAACTCAACAGCTTCGTTTATGTGTCGAACTAAAAGCCCTCTGGCAACATTTCAATGACAGAATCAAATAATTTGTTAACCCAAGACTTTTTAATGTGAAATATTTGCAGGATAGTATTTTTTAATACTGTAATCTTGACATTTTGGAAATGTAAATAGGCATAGCAGCAGGCATCTCTACAGCAGCACCGCAGCAGCAACACTGTCTGTGGTAACGCCTTATACATGCAAGCCACAGCAGTTTAGCAAGGTAGCTGTCACATGCTGCTCAGGCAGGCAGTGTGGCCCGGGCATATTTCTATTGTAAAGTTTGAAGAGAAACTAAGGCGAAGCAGCTGGAGGCCCCTTTTTTTAATTGTTTTTAATGAGAGTAAAGGTTTTGCGTCGCTGCGTTTCTATGTTCTAGGCTCCTCCATTTCGTCATCTTTTTTCCCATTGTCCAATCAGGGGATTTGAGAGGCGGGCCTTCTGTGGTGGTTTACAGTTGGTAAACAATGGAGGAGAAACTGGTGGTAGTGGTTGTTGGATACCCAGAGCTATACGGCCTGATGATAGACAGCAGGTTGTCAAACTGCCCCTGAGTCATCCTAAAATCTGCCTGTAAACGTCCATGATGGAGGAGAAGCTCCTGGACCAACTGGTGGTACTCCCCATGATCCAGCCTCTTTTTTAGGGTCTCATGTACCCACACAGATCTCTGTTTATCTGCTGACAGCCTCTCACCCTCAACCAGAGCTACAGACAGAACCCTCTGCCTCAACATGGCAGCAACTACATACTAATTACGGTCAGATAAATAAAATGTTTAAATAAACAGTAGACTGATTACACAGGAAGGTTAGAATAAGGAGGTGAGTTTGTGGTTGCCTGGCAGCAATAAAAAAGCACAGCAAGCCTTTTCTTTCATTGGTGGCGTTCAGTTTTAAAAAGAAAGACAGTACAGCTTGTTACAGCCATTTTTATGCACCTTTAAGACAAAGTAACATGTTTTGGTAAAGAGGATTTCTGCGACCCAAAAGCATCAAAGACCATTCAAACATATAAAGTTGTCCTCCCGAGCCATCTGACTGGATCCAATCAAACTTTGGCGGAAGTTTGCAAACTTCATCCAGTGTATTTCTGCACTGGACGCACTGAGGTCTTCTATCTGACTCTAGAGAACAATAGGATTTACTGATATGTGAGGCTGCTCCTTTAGAATACCAAGCATTTACAGACAGGCTGCGAGAACTAATGAACAGGAAAAAGACATAGTGAATACTGTTATTGTCTGAACAGAGGTGCTGTAAGAAGAAGGGTGTCAGCGTCTCTGTAGAGTCGACTATGTGGAGGTGAAGTCAGAGTGCAGCCTCTCTAATGAGGATTTAACAGGAAGTTGACTTGAGTTTGTTTAGACGTCACCTGAGACCAGATCTGATGAAACTGTTTACAGCTCAGAGTTACACTTCAAAGCTGCTTCTCGGTCCATCAGCAGAAAAAAAGTGTGAGATGTCGGATTGTTTACTCATCAGAGATGTGCTGACTGAACTGATCTGCTTAAATCTAACAAGCAGCAGCTCTCACGTCAGGCTTTACTTTCTCAGCCTCACAGAAGAGACGAACCTCTTTTATCCTGCACAGTGTTCAGTGGGAGGGGAGAAAATGTCACAACGATTCAAACTACTTCAAATGAAAACTCTCGTGGGGCTCATTTGGTAAATTATTACCTTTCTTTGTAGTGAATCATGATCCTCAGATGATGAATCCTACATTTGGTGACCCACTGACCTTTCCTGTAGTGCCACTCTTGAGACAAAACTTTACAGTTGTAGGCTCTAATAGTAGCTAAACGTTCAAGATAATGTACGTTCATAGTGTAGCTGCAATGAACAGTACAGCCTCAAGGAGATGCTAGATGAAGTAAGTTCAGGGTTCTCACACATCTTTAGGGACAAGATTTCAAAACTTTTCCATGAGTTTTCAAGGACCAATAATAGCCCAGATAGCACACATACATCTGGCCAACGTCGGCCCGATGTATCATGTTTAGCTCGTTAAGACGTAGCAGGGAGAGCGTTTGCTCATTGCCAAGACGTTGCTGAGACGTCGGCCTATAATCGAAAATGACCACCACGCCACGGTCAAACGATCAATAAAAGAAGCTGCGCTCAGTGGGCGCTCCTTCATTAATATTCATATGCTTCATTAACTACGACCTTTATTCATTTAGGTCGGACCTTTCAAACTACAAATATTTCACCATTCAATGTGAGAAATGAATGCTAACATTCAAAACTAGCTTGACTGTTACCCTATTTCGTGTGTAAGTGTGCACAATGAAGAGACAAAAGTCAGTTTGACAAACTTTATTTTCAAATTTCCACAAACAATATCTGACGGCCAGTCCGCTTCTCCTGGCAGCCTGCAAGACACAGAAAAGACAATGAGCACATAACTTCAAGAAACAAATCCCAACTTCACCACTGTATTTTTTTAACATTTCAGCTGTCTTTTAGCCAGATTGAAGGTTTTGGGTCCGTCACTCTGCTTCATTTAGTGTTGAAACTGTTAAATAACGGGATCCGGCGTTAACGGTGTCAACTGTTAACAGCAGCTCAACAATCAGTCCTTCATCTCGGAAAAACAGTGGTTTCAAAACTGTGCTATTACCTGTAGCCACCGGGTCAGTTTGCTTTGCAGAGGAGGAGACCTCGACTGATAAATTGCCCATAAAATCACATTACCAACATACCAAAGGCATCCTTAAACTTCACTATTTGACCTCCATGCTCCTCTCCGCTCCTCTCACCCACACATGACCACCCGTCCAGGGCCCCGGAGGTCAGGCCGGGGGGCCGCGGGACCACGGGTGGCAGCTCCGGGCACTTCCACTTTAACCCAAAACGAGTGCTTACGATAACCAGATGAGCACATAACGTCAACGAGGGAAAATAAAATGAAAACACCACAGTTGTAGCCTGTTAGCTAACATGAGCTAAACCGCTAAACTAGCTAACAAAAGATAACGTTAGCTGGTGGGGACATGTGCTATATACACCCAGTCGTGCCTCACCACTCACCAGGAACCTCTTTTAACGGTCACAGAAAAAACAACAAAGCTATTTTCTGCCAGTTTATTCCAGTTAGCTTACCTGAAACCAACTGCGATGAGATGCTGTGTCCTGCGAGCTCAGTTCCAAACAAAGACCGCAGATGTATGTGGTCAGACATTCTACGGCATTGGGCCGACCCAAAGCCGACATCACAGAGACGTTTGATGAGCTGGGACAAAAGAGTATTACATTTAAAGATATCTGCCCATGCGGCCGACGCTTGTCAGACGTTACAAATTCAGGGCCGATGTGTCGTCCTCAGGCCGACGTCGGCCAGATGTATGTGTGATATCTGGGAGGTGTATTTTTTTCTTACAGTCGGTCCGCAGACCTTCATCGGGAACCTTTTACTGAACTGAAGCTTAGTGAGAGTGTAATGATACCAATCTGCTGTTTGCTCTTCTCTCCTTAGTGCCGCCAACAAAAACCACCTACGTCAGCTACACCAACCACGCCATGTGAAGAAACCACGCCTTCGACACAAGGACGTCCCGGGACATTTAAAGAAGCAGATTTCTGTCAGACGTCACCACGAGGTGCTCTGAGCAATCTGAAGGATCCGAATGACTGACAAACTGAACCAACAACATCTGTGGTGTTTTTTATGTTTACAGACAGCAGGGAACGGGCCTGAACGGCGCCCAAAACCTGACAGGATCACAACTGAAAACCATCCGAGAGACCGTGAGGAAGCAGGAGGAGGATGGTAATTCTAAAGACAAAAAAAAAAAAAAAATTATAAAAAAAAATTAAACAAGTCTTCTAAATGAAATACAAAAAAGAAATTGTTGGGACCAACCATATTTGTTGTTATTCTAATTGTGCGTTGAAAAAAAAACAAACAAAAAAAACTTGTGGTTGTGAAAATTTCTGGTTCTTGTCTCATGTCGTCCGTCCGTCGACCTGCATTATGAGACGAGTCCGTCGCTGTTTTCGGCTAACTGAACGGTAGCTTTTGGTTGTGAAATGTCTAAATGCCATGGTTGAATTGAAGCATGCCCGTTTTTTATACAAATGATCTATTTATAATAAAGGAATGTTTCACAAGTTGGTGCCACGTTTGGGTCTGTTTGAGGGGAGCAGATTGCATGAGAGCACATGGACAATTCACATTGTTATTGTTGCTCTGTTGTGGTTGTTGGGGTTTTGGTGTCTTGATTTTTCAGTCAGATCCTCTCGGTGGAAACAGAAAATGTTTGTGCTGTTGATTCGTCAGTATGAGACTCTTCTTGACACCAGGTACGTGGCTTTTGATATCCATAAAGTCCTAGTTACTTTAAGATTTTCTATAAAAAATCACAGAGTTGTTTTATGAAATGAAAATGTTCATTTACTGGATCCTTCTGTGTCATTGTCTTTGTAAGACAATTGTCTTTGAAAGACAATGACACAGAAGAGACTTCAGGCTGAGTTATGTTTGGGCATGTGACATTTTCAAAGTTAGTCACCCAACACAAAGGAAACAGTCGCGAGACGTTTTCAGTTTATGCTTTGGCGAAAGGTTTCAGTTGTCTCCATGAGACCAGAGACCCCACGCTATATATGTGTGTTTGTCTCTTGACATACTCGCTGCAGTGGGTGTGAAGATAATGTCAACAAATCAATAAATATAAACAATGTTGATTTCTTCCCCTGGTCCATCCATCCATCTATTTTCATCCGCTTATCCAAAGCTGGGTCACCGGGTCAGCTCCATTCTACCCTCACTTGTGAATAAGACCCCGAGATACTGGAACTCCTTTGCTTGAGGCCGTAACGTACTTCCAACCCAGAGGGGTCAATCCATCGGTTTCCTGCAGAGACCCTCAGACTTGGAGGTGCTAGCTCTCATCCTGACAGCATGCGGGAGGTCACGGTGTGATGAAGCCAACAGAACCACATCATCTGCAAAGAGCAGAAGTGCAATCCTGAGGACCCCAAATCGGAGGTTCTCCCCCCGGTGCTGACATGAAATTTTTTTGTTCAGTTAACGTCTGCTGTCTGTCTGCCTCGTAAAGGCAATTTCACCGGCCCATAGATGGGCCATTATCAGTTTAAGTGTATGCTATATTAAGAGTATTTTCTCCACATTTCCTTACATTTTAAACCAATCAAAGCAGCAGTAGACCACCAACTCCTTTATTCTGTTAAGTAAAATTACCGTTTCTGTCAGTGGAGTTTGGTGGCTTAAAAATAATGGTTTCAGTTCCCTGTCAGAGAGGGCTGTCTGACAGCAATGTACAGCAATGAAAATATTCTAAATATAGTGTACACTTAAATATTTATAGGTGAGCCTTTTTTTTAGATGGCTAAAACCTAACCAGTTGAGGTAAGATAAGCTCAGTGCCCATAAGGGGCTACCCATAAGTTAATGTAAACAAACAATGTGTGTCAATATGATTCTGAAATCGGCCTTTGTGCACAATGAGTACTTTTACCTTTAGTACAAAGGTAAAAGTACTCATTTAAGTATTAATGATGCTTATACTTTTTAATTTTACTTAAGGGTTTGAATGCAGGACTTTTACTTGTGACAGAGTATTTCTATACTGTAGTGCTGCTATTTTCACTGCAGTAAAAGACCTGAATGCTTCTTCCACCCCTGAACTATAGCAAATACAACACATCCCAGCACGATGAAGCAGCAGAGCAGGAAATGAACAGAAACTCCATCCACACTGCATTTGACCTTTAACATCATACAAACCCGACTCTGCAGGAAGCTCACAGCGTGCGCCTCATTACAAATACAGAAAAAAAAACAAGAAGACAGTTGATGTGATCGATACGTGCTGTGGAACAGGAGAGGCCGGATCAATATGAGGTGCCAGAGACAACTCCCCATGCATGTAATGAATATTTCTGCATCTCCTGGCAGAGGAGACGAAGAGGAAGAGGACAGGTAGAGCCTGAGTGCTGAAGCCTTGTGGGCATCCTGCTTTTATTTCCCCCGACGCCGCACTCATTTCTCGCACTCGCAGCCAACTGAAAGAAAAGAAGCTTCTCTCTGAAATAAATACTGAAGATGAAACTGCTTCATCTGAATTTCTCCACTGGTGTTTACTTTTTTTTCTTTTCTATTTGATCAGGTGCTGTCTTCAGGCCTCAGCTGTTTAAGACTTGAACAGCCTTCAGGTAAGAGTTTGCATTTATACTTCTCGGTTTATCTGCAATTCTTAAAGCTGTTTTATATTGTTCCTGGGTAGCTTCTGTAATATTGTGCACATAGTGTGTCCTCTGATTGGATGCATTAGTGAATATATTGTAAGAAATCACAGTCGTTGAAAGTAACAGTACGTTTACTCAAGTGTACTTGTGTACAGTTTCTGAGGTACTTGTTCTTCAGTATTTCCATTTCATTCATTCTGCTTGTACTCCACTATAAGTCAGATACAGATATTATACTTTATACTTTAACATGTTCATTTGATAACTTCAGTTACTTTGCAGATTCAGATTAAGAATACAAAATCCTATCAAAAATAAAACATCATGTATCATTATCGGTTAAAGTAAGACTTAATTGATCACTGTAGGGCATTCATGAGCTAACGTTGTGTAAAGTAATTAAAATTAGCTCCACCCTTCCCAGCAGAAACATTTCAATGACAAACACAATAATATATCAGTAATTATAATCCAATAATATATATAAATGTAATAATGAATTATTGTGAAATGGGCCATTCTGCAAAATGAGTACTTTTTGAATTCTAAGGGTACAACATGTAGTACAATATATGGTGAGAATTTCAATTAAATTAAATTCATCCATCCCTTTTTAACCATTTATCCGGGGCCAGGTCGCGGGGGCAGCAGGCAGAGCAAAGCATCCCAGACGTCCCTCTCCCTAGCAACGCTTTCCAGCTCCTCCTGGGGGACCCCAAGGTGTTTCCGGGCCAGATGAGATGTATAATCCCTCCAGCGTGTTTTGGGTCTGCCCCGGGGCCTCCTAAAAGTTGGACATGCCCAGAACACCTCTAAGGGGAGACGCCCATGAGGCATCCTAATTCGATGCCCGACCCACTTCAACTGACCCCTTTCGGCGCAAAGGAGCAGCAGTTCTACTCCGAGCTCCCTCCAGATGTCAGAGCTCCTCCCCCTATCTCTAAGGCTGAGCCCAGACACCCTACAGAGGAAACTCATTTCAGCTGCTTGTATCCACGATCTCATTCTTTTGGGCACTACCCAGAGCTCATGACCTAGGTGAGGGGTGGGACGTAGATGGACCAGTAAATCGAAGGCTTCACCTTCCGGCTCAGCTCTCTCTTCATCACAACAGCCCTGGCATCACTGCAGATGCCACACCAAACCACAGATTTATCGCATGCTCCATTTTACCCTCACTTGTGAAAAAGACCCCAAGATACTTGAACTCCTCAGAGGGGGCAATCCACCGTCTTTCCAGCAGAGAACCATGGCCTCAGATTTCGAGGTGCTGACTCTCATCCCAACCGTTTCACACTTAATTGCAAACTGACCCAGTGCATGCTGGAGGTCACGATGTGATGAAGCCAACGGGACTCTGCAAAAAGCAGAGACGAAATTCTGAGGTCCCCAAACTGGACCCCTGCCTCCCCCCGACTGCAGCTGATATTTCACAGGTTTTAAATGTTTTGGTGGTCCTGCCCCGTTAGCTACGAAGACAACATGGTGACCATTCAGGGTGAGACGTGACAAACTTTACACACTCAACTATTTGAATGCACCATCTGGGTAAGAATGGTGCACTGCATTTTCCCATGCTTCTCAGGGTGCATTCAGAAACACTCGCTCTGAGTGCTGGTACGCACAACATTGACAACATCACACTCAGAGCAGCAGTGTGCCGAGTTTGTTAATTGCTGGAGAAATAAAACTCAGTTTCTTCAAACAGCAGGGCTCTCATTTTAGTGTAGAGCATCAGATTGGATTTATGAACACACCTTTAGTGTTAACACATTCACATACTCAAAATAGAGAGTATCTGATTTGAGACACAGCACAAGACTTTAACAAAATATTTCTACAGTGTGGTATTAATACATTTATTACTATATAACATCTTCATTATAAGTTTTCACTTGTTTTATTTACAGGAGAATGAGTCTTTATGTGTCTCAGTGAAACATATCACTTTGAGATTAAATTAGGCCTCTCAGATATCGGTGGTACTGAGCATGTTCTGGGCCAACTGCTACACAATTTAAAGTTTAGTTTGAGTTGTTTTGCTCCAATGTCAAGTCATATATCTGTAAATAACCGGATAGGAGAGAGTTTTGTGGGCACCACACAGCAGCAGCGTCTTGATTAATGCTGGCACTGAGACTTTCTTCGAGTTTGGTGTCTATTCTGCTGTCTCTTGGCTCTGAGCAGTTGCCAGGCAACCAGCTGAGAGTCCGGGAAGTCGCTGATCCCAGCCAAGAAATAGTCCGGCCCATGCAAACTGTCATTTTTACACTTTCTGTGCAAACCAAACAAAGATTTAACGTGTTAATTGGTGAACTTTAGAGGTGCTGGCAGCTTCTAACAGAGCCCAGCTAGCTTTGGCCCCTTTATGCTAAGCTAACCACCTGCTGGCTCCAGCTTTTATGTTTGACAGATGTGAGAGTGGTATTGATCTTCTCATCTAACTCTCCCAAAAATGCTGAACTCCTTTTAACTTCTCAAACTGACCTCTGATAGCAAGGACAGCCTGAGAAGAATCCATGTCTGAGACAGACGGATTAATGAGTTGATTGTTTCACATTTCAGATGAAGAAGCAGCTGATAATTAGTGACACTGTCGTCCCAAAGTGACCCATTAACTGCAGCATGACGTCTGTCCTACTTCTGTCTCTCTGCTGCCGCTGCTGTTCTCCAGCACTCAGACTCATGAATACATCTTTCTGATTTTACATTTTATTTATTTGTGACTACCAGTTGACAAATTCTCCTGAGAGTTGCAGAAGCACCAGTGTTCATCTTTTACTGGTCTTATATGTCGTGGTGAGTCAAAATATTCACTCTGTATTTTCACATGTATTGAAACAAAAGATGAGAAGCACAAACCAGATGAATATGTCCTTTAAAAAAAGTCCAGAGGTTGT